GGGCACCGTAATTCAGAAAAAAATGGGAAAATGTACTAGTCTGGTTAACATACGTGCTTTAAAAGCCCTCTTTACAAAGTATTGTTAACAAAGTCATTGAGCTGCTAAAAATTCTTAAAAACTCGTATATTAAAGACTTTTCTTTTACATATAAAATATATTGCTCCTCAAATAGGGTTATTGAGTGACTATAAATAGCTGTAGCGGGAGAGCTTTCAGTGGCCTTTAAAATACTTCTTACACCTTCATCACAAAACAAACTCAGTGAGCTGTCATACAAACTTGTACCAACGATATTATAGGAACAATATTTTTATCTTTTTTTTCAGATCAAATATATTGCATTGATTATTGTTATGGTGCTCGTACTGGTATCTGCCCGCGATGATGACTAGAAAGGTTTAGAGATTTGTTAGAAAGGAAGCCGGAAGTGTCAATGTCATTGCAGCAGTGAAAAAGACAAACCTTGTCTAAACAAATGTAAAACCAAGTTTAAAGAATGCAAATCATACTGCAAAAGTAAACGTACCTGGGAAAGTAGTTTTGAGGATGGTGAAACGTCATTTCCATTTGATAACTCAGTCGACGATGATGTAAAACGTACATTGGAAAATAAATTTGAGGATGAGAATGACTCATTCTATTAGAAACTATATAGTAGTATAATATCATTGTTTAACATGATTTAGAAGTTTCTGTTAAAGTGCAAAGTAATAAATAAATTTGGATGTACGTTGTTTTTCTTAACTTAATTTGACAAATCATGATAAATCATATTCGAAAAAAGAAGACAGCGGATACACATCGATGAGACGTTAACCAAACCACAAAAACAAAACGTTTATTTTTGAACAATAATGTAAGTCTAAGAAATGTACAGAGACTATCATAGATCAACGGTACCGTTAATTATTTCTAAAAGTATCCATCCCCCACGAACCCTTCCCCAAAAGAATACAAAGCAAAAATGACACCATGTTCGGACGTTGATCTTGCGCAGAAACATGTGTTGTTTAACTAAATGATTTTTTAACTTTTGATTAGTCAAATACAATACAATCGGTTCAGGATAGACATTTTACGTTATTATATGAATTCTATTGAAAACAAAAACACAGGATTATGTCAAACAAAACTAGTCTCATTGACATATTCTGCAAATGCCGTGTGAAAAATACTTTCAGTTACTGAAAGCTTTTATAGCAAACTCGTATTCGTATCGTGGGGTTGGTGTTGCTCAGTTTTGAAAGCTTCTTAATGCATTGTAGGGGACCCCTAGTGGTCTAAGTAGTCGAACTACTATAGCACTAGTCTGTCAACACTGAGGTTGTGAGTTTGATTACCGCACGTGGCAGGCGTGCTCGACTTTAATCTTAATTGACTAGGATGATTGTCAGTTTTCCTACCGAATGTCAGTGGTTCTCTCCGGGCACTCTGGCTTCCTCCACCAACAAAAAACTGACCGCCACGAAATTGTAACTTTTAAAAGAAGAACTGTAATTAAATTCCTGCTTCTTTTCTGTGAGGTTTGTCGAGTGAGTGTAAGGATTTGTGTCCTGATCAAAACAAAAGTCTTGTTAAATCTTCAAATCTTAAAATCACAGAGAAAAGACATTAATCCCTCGAAAAATCTTCAGCAATGATTTAACAAAACCAGAATGATCATAATCTTTAACTTTTGGCCTATAAAGCCAAAATGAAAGATTTGAACGACAAATCTGAAACGTCTTTGATTTGTTTATAATATTTCAATACATTTACTTGTTTCTTGATACTTAACTATGACCTTTGACAAGGTTGTGAAAGATAACGCTTTCTAATAATACCTACAAAATATAGAATATCTATATATAAGACAAAGTGGTAGGATTACCAATGAGACAACTTTCCACCAGAGACTAAAATGACGTAGAAGCTAGCAACTATAGGTCACCATACGACCTTCAACAATGAGCAAATCGCATAGCAAGCTATACATTGAAAAAGGCCTCGAAAAGACAAATGTTGAACAATTCAATAGAGATAACTAACGGTCTGAATTATGTACAAAACAATAAGCAAACAAAAAAACAAATATTATATACAGCAACAAAGGAAAATTACTGAATTACAGGCTTTACAATCCCATTTCGGCCATCGAATAGATAAACATCTTTCACGTAAATAAACTACAAATGTACGTAGAACTTTTTATGTTCTTTTATTACGGTCGTCCTACATCCATGTCAGATTGTTAAAGTTTGTCTTGGATCGCACCTGGTAACTAATATTCATAGAAATGTATCTTCTTCAAGCATAACTGCTACTCATTGCTCTCGTTTTGCTATACTTTTGATCCGTTTCGGTTAAATTATAGGTCTTCAACTATTGTATAGGGTTTGGTTTTTACGAATAGTTTGGCCTCGAGCTTCACTGAAAAGAATTTTATTTCGAAATGTGCATCTGATACAGTTCAATTGGCACCGTTTAATGTTATAGTTTATAATTGTAGAAATTATTGTCTTGGTCGCACATTTGTCATTTAGATGCAACAACCTAACGGCAAATCTTTGCTTTCCATTGGTTATATTTATAAAGGTTATCAGTCAATCAACAGACGGAAAATTAGTGCTGATATGATAAATCAGATATTTTTTTTTATAGTTAAGAACATTGGAAGTATAAAAGAAAGAGAAGCGAAATATATCAAGGGAATAATAAAAATCAAAAAGACGAAGACGGAACTGACAACGACATTGCAAAAAACGAAAAACGAAAAGAAAACAAACAACAGTCTACAAAACACATCAAAAAAGCATAAAGACTGAGCAACATGAACTCACATGGTAATATCAGAGTATTCCGAAAGCGTAACAGATCCTGCTCCACATGTGGCATCCGTCATGTATGTAAGTAAAAATTCGAAATGTAGGAACTAATCAATGATATAGAAGACAAACAACCCTGTTATATACAAAATCGTCTTGACGTCAACTTAGTTTTTATAGATACATGTCCATATAGACTAGTGTCCAAATACATCATAAATGCATATATACATCTGATGTATATCTAAAGTAACTTTTTGAAAAGATTAGAATAAATTAAGCACATACTTCTGGACTTGGATCAAAATAAAATTCCACTGAAAGATAGTATCTTTTTTTTTATTTTGGCTTTCCATTTAAGAATATAGGATAACGTTTCAAATCCAAATAGAGGATCAAAATTCATGAATGGAAATTCCTTCAAAATTGATGCCAACATGTTGGTCCTAAATGTACAATTTTACATACTGTTACTACATGTAGCAAATGTAAAGAACAAGAAAGGAGAAAAAGAAAAGCCGGTTAAATGAAAATAACACTTAATGCATTGTGTGCGTCCGAAGCGCGTTTTTTTTTATAAAAAAATTATATCTCTTCCTTAATCAGGAACGATCGAACCGAAACATTTGAAATCCAGGAATTGAAAAAATATATAAAAATGTTTGGAGCTGTATGATTAAAACGGACCTCAAAATAATCATATTCATAAATTTGGCCCATTTAGACGTTTGAGCCAATGACATATTGTTTATACACCTGCCTGTTGTTGAAAGTCGTATTTTACCCTCTGGAGGTCTTTTGACTGTTTTTGTCGTTAGGTTGCAGTCTCATTGACGTTTACCTAGCATCTTCCGTGTACAAATGTATTTATATCAAACTAAATGTATTTTATTTCATGCAGTTTATTGGTTAATGTATGTAAGATCTACTGTGTAAAATATTTTATATAAAATTATTGTTTAACTGTTCTATACTTTGAGGTGTAGGATGTTTCAAATGTGTCAGATAAGTACTCTTATATTGTGACAGATATTTGACATACATTTTGGATATAGATGACGTTACAATTATTCCTTCGGTTTTATGTTTATCACGTTTTATATTATTGTAATAGAAAAATGCAATTTATTTTAAGTTAAGGGTTACTAGGACATTCAGAAATTAGTATATAAACTGATCAAGCCGCTATAATATTAATAGCGAGTTTCTTGATATTCTAGGTGTCAGTCGATCCCGGCCTGCCTCTATATCGGCAACAACGCCCGGCCTGCTTTTACATCGGCAGCAATGCCATACACCACCAAAGGCATTGTTCTAAGCTAGTGTCCCCCGAACATGTAAAAATCAGAACCAGCTCTCACAGATGTAGTTCGTCTGTTGAGAGTCTGAGGGAAAAGAACAGTAATCAGACCCATGTTACATTACGCAAATATCAACCAACTTCTTATTACCTAGAATATCAAGAAACTCGCTATTAATATTATAGCGGCTTGATCAGTTTATATACTAATTTCTGAATGTCCTAGTAACCCTTAACTGATTGCAACAAACACAAGAATTTATGCTTTATGAGTTATAAATAAAGTTGCTGACGCAGGTTGACCGCTGTCTAACTTCTAAGACCTTATGTTAAACTCTGCCAGACATACAACCGGAGGTCAGTCTGGCCTCAGCCGAAGTTTTATTGAACAGATAAGTTCAATAGTTTATTAGAGTACTTATCTGACACATTTGAAACATCCTACACCTCTCAAAGTATAGAACAGTTAAACAATAATTTTATATAAAATATTTTACACAGTAGATCTTACATACATTAACCAATATACTGCATGAAATAAAATAAATTGCATTTTTCTATTACAATAATATAAAACGTGATAAACATAAAATCGAAGGAATAATTGTAACGTCATCTATATCCAAAATTTATGTCAAATATCTGTAACAATATATGCACGTAAGTTGTATTTTCATCGAAATTTATAACAACTTTTTTTCAAAAAAGCACGAACACTCTAATATTTAACAAAACTAAAGCTCTTCAACATTACGGTTCTTATACATCCTTGGCTTTCAAATATTTGCCTTGAGCGTTCCTGGTGAAGGTAAAGCCAGAAAAGCGCGTCGGACGCATGAAATTTATAACGTGTTGTTTTCATTTTTTAACAACAAACAAATAAAAGAAAGCTATGATTTACAGAATGATTTATTACATACGATAAACATAAAATGTATTAACGAATGTTTTGATGAACAGTCTATTCATCGTTATCTTCATCGTCAAGATCTTCTTCGACCTCATAAGGTGCATGAACATTACGTTTAAAATCATATTTGCACAGCGCCATGCAGTCCTTCTTCATCTTATTGCACTTCTTTTTACAAGATTTGTCGCTGTGGCTTAAACAAAACTCCAACTTGCAGATTCTAACCTCATCGTTGCAAATCATCTTACATTCACCGGCTCTCACTGTTGACACCATTGCAATGGCTATAACCAGGACTAATACAAGTGCTTTAGTCTGTAATGAGATGCATAAATAATATAAGTATAAAGAAAATGTGGTACGATTGCCAATGGGACAACAAGTCACCAAATTTCAAATGATGTGGATGTTAGCAATTATAGGCAACCGCACGGCCTTCGGCAATGAGAAAAACCCATACCGTATAGTCGGATATAAAAGGCCCCGACATAAAAAATATGACACATTTCAATCGAGAAAAACTAACTGTCTAATTAAAAACAAAACATTTTACGGAAAACTAATATGACACAAGAACCAAGTTGAACGACAACCATAAGTCAGTTTTAATGTTCAGGTCCATATTTGATTGTTCAGTATATTGTTTAACAATATTATACATCACAAGAAAATGGACGATTTTTGAAATAAGAAATACAACTTCGTTCTCTGTATGCTATTTGCAATTATAGTAGTGTTTAAAAATAATTTGGAAAATTAGAGGAATGTAGTTTAGAATTTTAGAAAATAAGCACATTTGTGTCAGTAGAAGATACTTTACAATTTGAGGGTCAAATAGAGGTAGAGCTTATTTCCCATGAATTGATATCAGTCGCACGGTCTCAAACCTAAAGTGTTCAAACCTAATTGAATTGAATATTGAAGAGTCTAAATAAAGCATCATACAAAAACTGAATTTACAATAATTTTACTCATATGAATCAGTATGTTATTCAGCACTTTAGATTGTTTTTGCTGACAATGTTGCAAATTATATGTTTTTGTAAAAAAATTGCCTTATAAGACATTCTAACAGACATCAAATAATGCGATCTAATACACCTTATCGCTACTTATCACAGAAGTTCCCGTAAAATTTTGACGTTACAAGAGAAAATGTCTGACGCCACAAAGGAAAAGTTATTGTTGTATGACGCCAATTGTTCAAGTGTCGCAGATCCCCAAATAGCGATAAGGCCTATAGACAACAGATTACATAACTTCCAATTTTAGTTTTGATTAAGAATATCATGGTTATTCATTTTAACTAAAATTACTCACAATTGCCAAAATGTATCAACATTACAGTTTTGGGAAATCTTTTAAATTTGTTTACACGATTAAAAAACGCCACAATATTGAAATAGCACCAAAGAACGCTGATAACGCTTGCCTTTTTTATGAATTTTAGTAAATATTTTAGGAGGAAATTTTTCAAAATATATGGTATTAGATTAGTTCAAGAGGAATTTGAATCTACTTATTTATGACAGAATCATTCATGTTTGATCAACATAAAGTTAGATATATGTTGTGTTTTTGCGTTGATGGGTTGCTGTTTCAACGTCATATACTCAACATCTTTTAATTGACGAATAAATGTGGAAATTTTCCCCGTTAAATAGTAAATGAATAGATATATTTATACAAAAACAAGAACACAATGTTTAAAAAAAATCAAAGAAATCAGGGATTTCTGATTATGAATATCATTTTACAATTCAAATTCGAACTGTTAAAGAGTTTCAAAGGAAAATCCTTAAAAGTCAATCTTCAAAATGTACATGCAAACATTTCACATTTTTTTTTTAAAGAAATTTACTCAATCCTACAATGCAACCCCATTTAGAACCCTTTTCAGAGACATTTAGTTTATATTCTAGCATACGAATAACTATCAAAATATAACTGCTGAAACGCAAACATACGGCGCTACTGGACATTTATCAAACACCAACCAATCAATCAAACACATAGATTAACGATTCTAAAGATTCAATGGCTAAAATTAGCTAAATACTAACAAGAACCACACATTATAAACGTGTATAGTTTATGCAATTACTTATTAAAAAATATTTGTAATGGCAGTTGACAATAGAGGTAAACATATTCTATTTTCTTATTTTCTTAAAAAAGTCAATGTTTTGGAATTGGATAAAAATGTTAATTAAGCAAGTGAAAAACAACACTTGTATACTAATTAGTTAACTGAACCAATAAATGCTTTAAAACCACTGACTGCTGGAATATTCGAATACTATCTCGTATAAGGATAATAACTGGGACATATATACGTATTGTGTAAATGTCTACTCGGGACCTTTCATACTAATCTTAATTGTAGACTCTTTTTCAAATTCTTCTCAATTTTAATTAAACTTTTCGGACGTTTCGTATTTACTTAACCATTGTTTTAGTTGTTAGAAATTCAGAATGTCCTAACAAATCTCTGGCGTGTACATTTGTACAAATTGAACATCGATTGTTATTACTGTCAGGCTCTCTTTGAAATAAATATAATATATGATTGATTGTCATCTGCTTTATTTTTTTGTCCATTTTTTCCCTAATTCGCTATTTTGTTTTGCCAAATTTTCTCTATTCTGTAAATCGGCCCATACAAACCCTCTAAGGCTATTAACAAACATTTGCATGTAAGCACGCAGTGTCGAGTTTTGAAATAACTTTTGAAATAAATTTGAAATAAATAATATAAAACTTACCTGCATGTTTTTGTGTTGTGAAATATTCAAAATCGTAAAAGAAATGGAATGCAAGACTAGAATTTATTTCAATATTTATACTTTAACTGTTATACCTTCCAGAAATAATTAACCCATAAAGATAAATGATAATGCATGTAATCGTTTAACAGATGGTTCTTCCCCCCTTACAACATACGGGTATCTAAGCAAAACACATTAAATGACAGGTGATTACTCGTTATGCATATGGCACAATCAGATATTATTTCGTAGAACAGATGACCTTCGGAGCCTTGCATAACCCTTTCGAAGATCTTTATTTCTAATAAAAATATTTAAATTGATATACATATTCAAATTATACATGTACTTGTAACCACCGATATACAGGGAGAGGACATCACTAATGTTGTTAGTACGACTTGTGTCCAATCCCTTTTGCTATTTTTGCAAATAAAATATGTTCAAAGGAAACCGATATTGACCGATATTACTTTTTTAAAAAAAAATATGTTTAAAGGAAACCGATATTGACTGATATTACTTCTACAAATAAAATATGTTTAAAGGAAACCAATATTGACCAATATTACTTTTGCTAATAAACTATCTTTAAAGTAAACCGATATTGACCGATATTACTTTTGCAAAAAAAATATGTTTAAAGGAAACCGATATTGACCGATATTAATTTTGCGTGTTGATTACATCTTTGTTAAGTTTCATTTCTAAATATAGTTTTGAATTTTAAATCGCCGCTTTTTGTGCTGAAGTGGCGTAAACCAAGCATCAATCAACCAATTAGGTATTCGTTTTTAGTTTTTTTTTTATCAATTTAAATCAATTATTTCTTAATTTACATAACTTACATTTGAAAGTTTTTTTCAACATAAATTCGTCAGTCACGTATTTAATTAAAAGATGGCTTGTTTATCGAAGGTGTCCCAGGATATGTCTTAGGACATTATTTAGGATGGACTTAAGACTGTCCTTGGATATGTCTTGGGACATTATTTAGGATGGACTTAGGACTGTCCTAAGATATGTATTGGGACATTATTTAGGATGGACTTAGGACTGTCCTAGGATATGTCTTGGGACATTTTTTTAGGATGGACTTAGGACTGTCCTAGGATATGTCTTAGGACATTATTTAGGATGGACTTAGGACTGTCCTAGGGTATTTCTTGGAACATTATTAAGGATGGACTTAGGACTGTCCTAGGATATGTCTTGGGACATTATTTAGGATGGACTTAGGACTGTCCTAGGGTATTTCTTGGAACATTATTAAGGATGAACTTAGGACTGTCCTAGGATATGTCTTGGGACATTATTTAGGATGGACTTAGGACTGTCCTAGGATATGTCTTGGAACATTATTTAGGATAGACTTAGGACTATCCTAGTCCTAGGATATGTCTTGGGACATTATTTAGGATGGACTTAGGACTGTCCTAGGATATGTCTTAGTACATTATTAAGGATGGACTTAGGAATGTCCTAGGACATGACGGAGCATGCACATCGAAACTCTCTTATGATTATCTTACCTAGGATTTCCTAACCGATATCCTAAGTGTTAATAAAAAAAATAAACTTTATATTAAGATAAAAATGCATAACATTTAACCAGTGAATAGAATAATGATATTTTAATAATGAGATAAAAACACTATTAACAGTATTATTATAATTATGGTAAAAAATATATATAATAATTGTTCGTTCAATATTTTACGTAACAACACAAAACAAAAATTATAACTACGTTTTCTATAAACATTGACCAATTTAAGTGTAAATATTTACAACGGTAAAAATAATGAGTGAGCTGAATTCAAAGTCTCATAGTTTCATTCATAACAGAGTTCAAAGGCAAATCTTCGTGCATCTTTCATATAAATACAGAGTGGTTAAACTATTTTAGTACTGCCAAAATATACAAGAGTGAATATGAATAAACAAAAGAATCATAACTTTACGAATGCCGAACATCAGGCTTTTCTGAAAGCAGAAATCTTCACTGTTCATTCAAATTTCTAATATTGCAGCCAATAGTGCTAAAAAGGAGTTTTGGATACAAATTAAGTATCATAAAATATATCCTAAAGTAAGGACCATCTTACAACAATTTAATTAGATGTCCTTAACTTAGGACACTTTCTAGGAAAAATCCTAAATTGCGACACGTTTGCTAAAACAACTTGGGACAAATACATGTCCTAAGATGGTCTTCGGACATGTCCTAATCCTAAGACAGCTTTGATAAACAGGCCCCTATAAACATGGAGATTTCAAGACTAGTAACTTTGAGTACCTCAGTATGTGTATTTCTATGCATAAAACGAAAGAAATGGGTCATGTCAAAATGGAAGGAACCGGTTTTGTCAATGTTGTTTACTACACCAGGAACCGGTGTTGTCCTTATATAGGACGCGGTTTTGTTTTGTTTTGAAACCACCAATTTATGAAAAGCAATGTCAACAAGGATCTGAACATTTTCTGTAGGAGGATGATGATGATGGATGGCTGCTAAACGTCCAGCGCCAAATTAATATGCAAATTCAGGACGAGAGCATGTTAATGTAATATGAATATGAACCCTGCTTTGTACTAGACTGACACGCTGAGTCGGATTTTCAACGTGCTTGTTCACAAGGTAACAATCCGCAGGAAGACATGTCACCTTACCCGGAAACATTATTCTGACTCCGAGCTGACTAGTCTTTGCTCTTACTCCTTAATGCCGCATGCTAAGTAGAGACGCAACAAATACCAATTTTAAAGTCTGTAGTTTGACCCGGCCGGGGTTCGAACCAACGACCTCTCGCACTCGAGGTGAACAAGCTAAAACGAGACCAGGGAGGCGGTTCCGTAGAAAGAAATTGAATATATATGTTATTGTAAAACAAACTTGTCGTGTTAAGATTTATTGCAAACGGGAACTTTTCGAAATAGGGAGTAAAACATATATATAAAAACAAGGAGATGTGTTATGATTGCCATGCAACGAGACAACTATCCACCAAAGTTCTAATGAAGTGGATGTAAGCAATTATAGGCAACCGTACTGCCTTCAACAATGAGAAAAAAAAGTTTAGTCGGCTACAAAAGGCCCCGACATGAAAAATATCAAATAATTCAGTTGAGAAAACTAACGGCCTAACTTATAACAAAACAATTTATGCAAAACAAATATGACAGTCTTTAACCAACGACAACCACTGAACTACAGATTCCTGATTTTGGACAGGCACATAAAGAGTATGGCGGGGTTAAACATGTCTGTGAGGGCTGAACTCTCCTCCAACCTGGGACAGTGGTGTTCCAGCACAACATGTGAACAAACTATAACATTCAGTTGAAAAGGGCTTAACTCATCAGATCGATACAAAGCAGAAACACATCTAACAAAAACAGATTGCACGTGGCAGGGTATAGATACAACCCTATTTTGCGAATGCCATAAGTATATCTTACTGCACTCATCTTCGAACTAAGTTTGAATGGAATAAAAATAGCATGCACTTACATAAATTTTTTATAACATTATGATGTTTGTCTGTTTACTAAACTAGTACTGATAATGTAATGATGTAGAAATAAGAAGATGTGGTAAGGTTGTGTCCCCGTATCAATTTATCAAAAGAATAAAGCTAGTATTCTTTACTATATACTATACATTGTGTTTACAATATTAACTATCATTTACTCATACATTCATTCATTGACAGACAGTCAGAAAAATACTTTAGTCTATACTATTCTGGACGAATTAATTCATCAAATCGGTGACATTTCGTTAGTCCGACAACTATTATTCCGACATCCCATTATTCCGATAGTCCATTACTCCGGCATCCCATTATTCCGATACCTCATTTTTCCGACAATGCATATGTCATAAAAGAGGGGCGAAAGATACCAGAGGGACAGCAACTCATAACTCGAAAATAAACTGACAAAGCCATGGCTAAAAAAATAAAAGACCAACAGACAATTAATAGTACACAAGACACAACATAGAAAACTAAAGACTAAGCAACACGAACCCCAGCAAAAACTGGGGGTACATAAGTGTATTGGTAAATTTTTTCTAAAAGACCAAATCCGTTCTCGATAACATTTTAGGTTGTCCGTTTAGAATCCGATTATTGTTCTCATGCGGGTTATTTATCTCAGTGCCTTGGAATTAATACACATGCTTATTGCAACTGCTAAGTCCTTATCAACGTTCCCCTTTTTGTTTTACAGGTCCGGGTATTTTATTTGTCTTTATATTTCGGCGTTTGTGTGTCAATTGTCATTCCGTGCTGTTCTACTCCCCGGTTTTGTTTTTGTCTCTTGATTTACCTTCTTTTTACTAGATCGTCGGTTTCCCTCGTGCTCACAAAGGTTCTTTCCTTTGCAAAATCATCACGGAATTTGAATGGTCAATTATTGACCGAACTAATCTGCATATTAAGTTAAGACGATGAAAGTGCTACCTCTTACAATGTTAATAATGTTCGCTGTTCAGTTTCAAAATAACAGGCTTTCTAAATTACTGTTATAAATTGTTAGTTCATAAATAAAAGGAAAAGGTGGAAAAACAGATACATGTAGGTCAGCGTGAGAGCACTTGTTTTTGAGATATAAGCCATTGAAAATTTTGCGGGAAACGACTCTATCTAGATTGTTAAAATATTTAACATTGGTATATGTACCTAATTTCTTTCAAAAGCTGAAATGAAGTAATAACAAAGAGTTATAAGATTTAAAAAAAATGGCTTTTTAAAATATTTGTAAAGGTTAGCGGGCAAAATGTTTAATGGCACTTGGGTGGATAAAACCAGAGATTTCCAAACATCTGACAAAAGTCATTAAGATGACCAGCGAATATCCTTAAAAGTGTTGACCTCCTGGACTGTGTTTTAAAAAACTAATACGCGTAAGAAAACGTATTAGGCAATAAATTTACGTTTTAGAAACGTATAAACACGTGTGTGAACGGACGAGTTTTGTTACTAAAAAGTTCTATCCAAACCGTATAAGAAAACGTATTACGCGCGAATTCACTGAACACACGACAAACGTATTACGCGTGAATTCACTGAGCACAA